TAAGTGGAGAGAAAATGTTTTGAGAATGATGTACAAATGTGCTTTACACAATTGATGTGTGTATGGATTGCGATATGAGCCCCTAATAAAATGTTTAATAAAAAAAAAAGAAAATGATGATGGAAAAAAAAAACTCTAACCACAAAGGGAGGAAAATCGGAATTATACGACATTAAAATGAAGAACCTCTGCTCATCTAAAGACGATACTTGCAGTATACGGGAGAGACAGTAATCATATCATAATTTACAAAGGAGTTCTATCCATAACACTCACATACTTTTGATGGTAAATGCAACGCCACTCCCCTCGTGTTTGTCCCTGCACAGCCACATGATTTTCTGATCCAATGGTCACATCCATTTCAGCTCACTAGTGCCCAGGATGTGGATTTGTAGGCATTTTACTTAATTTTGGAAGACTTCTAATTTTCCTAAATTCGCACTTCATACATTCCAAGTTCAGATTATTAGACTGTTTGTAGCTGTTTCTCCTCATTTTAGGTCATGCCCATTAGCAAGCGAATGTCCCGAAGGCTTTGCTTTCACAGGCTCTACTGCATGAGTGCCATTCGGGTGGCTTCACTTTGCAAAGGCAGGTTTCCTTCACTCATATTCATTGGGCCTTCAGGATACGATGATGTCTCAATGCAAAGCGTGCATTTTCCCAGGAGCTAATGCCTCTGAAGTGAACAGCCGGCTCCTTCTATGAAGCCTGTTCCCAGCCTCGGAGCGCGACAGAAACCTTTCATTTTGGGAGACTCGTCTGGCATTTGCAATACCAGTGACAGAGCTTCTAGCATCACAGCGACACAAACCAAACACACACGTTTTCCCAATTTTTTCATTGATGATCTTTATAGCTCAGAGGTTTATATTTAGGTCTCTGATCCATCTTGAGTTCATTTTTGTGCAAACTGTACCTTAAACGTACATGGAGCAGATGATAGAAACTAAAAGACTCCCTTGAACTTAAGGATGAAATAACCTCGTGTGAGAAAATGGCTATGGTCCCCAGGTTATGAATTTGGAAGTCAAACCTCTTGCTTTGAGGGTACCCAATAAAGGGCAACCTAAGACTACAGTATACTTTCTATTTTTCTACTCTTTGTTTTCTATGACATGTCTAGGAGGCATAATTTTGCCTCATGTTAGTAAATGAGCATTTTTAAAAAAGTTTTACCCTATCTCCAACTCTCATTGTCTGTACAAATTGTGCCTAGTCCATTGTTTTTAATCTGTACAAGTCCATTTATTTTAGCCTAAAAATCCATCCTATACATGTATACTTTCCATTTCTTGACAGTATTTTACATTCTCTACCTTTGGCTAAATGAATGATACTATCAATAGACTTGTTGTATGCCACATGGGGACATTATATAAAATATTCCCCAATAAAATGACACTGATGTCTCTAAAGTGGACTAAGGGCATATATAAACCATAAATACATGAGTCGATTTTAGCTCGAACTATCTGTAGCCCTAATCTAAGAACAATTAGTTCTCACGAAGTAGCCTTACTCAGTATTTTCTCTCCTGACGAGCTCCTTGAAGATACAGATGCTATAGCAATATGTGGTGAAGAAATCGTAGTGTCCAGCTCCCAGAGAGAATCGCATCTGGGTTCTTCCAGACAAGCAGCCATGTCAGCTAAGTCCATGTGGAAGAATCCCACTAGCCTGTGTGACCCAAGGATTGCAAAGACTAAAATCCAAGACCAGATGAGAGACTTTTATTAGAGCTTAAACTCTAAGCACTCAGTTTGCAGACACTATGTAAGACAGTGAAAACCCAAAATCCATTTGCAGAGTCCCCACCTGGATTGAGACCTGTGTTGAATTCCCTCTGACCATGGACAGAGTTCTTTGAAAAATGGATTACTGCAGGAGAAACCAGTTCTTAGAGCGTCATGCTTGGTAAAGTGGAGGGGCAGCAAAACGAGGAAGGCCCTCAATAAGATGGATTGGCACAGCAGCTACAATAATGGCCTCAAACAAAGGAAAGATTGTGAGGGTGGCACAGGACCAGGTGTGTTGTACTTGGGGCTGTACTATTGTTGTACTATGAGTCGGAATTGATTCAGTGGCAGGCAGAGGGGAAAAGCTACTATAGACATACATCCCTGGGATGATGTCCAGCAACTATGTCAGGGGCCTAACCCAATCCAGGGATACATACAGCAGCCAACCAACTAATAAGAGGTGGAAAGAAACAGAAAAAAAAAAAAAAGACATGGGTAGAGAGGGAGCAGGGCACTAACCCACCCAAGGGGAGGGTATTGTTTATCTCTCCACAGGAGAGGGAGAGAGAGACCAGACTTCAGCCCAATGCGCCCAGACGTGAATACAACATACCGGCATGTACCAGGGAACCAATAGAGAGGTCTGTGGGGCCGCCCCAATCCCGACTATGTATACACCACCTCCCTCCTCAGAAGAATGCATTTCAGAGGACAGCACTGGGGCTACAGCTTGGAGAGAGGGCGTGTCTGATTAGAGCACAGGGGAGAAACACAA